AAAATAACAATTGTTGGAATTAACCTATTGACAAGAATGAAAACAACAAGTGTTGGAATTAGCCAACTGACAAGAAGAAAAACAGCAAGTGTTGGAATTAGCCTACTGACAAAGAGAAAAATAACAATTGTTGGAATTAACCTATTGACAAGAATGAAAACAACAAGTGTTGGAATTAGCCAACTGACAAGAAGAAAAACAGCAAGTGTTGGAATTAGCCTATTGACAAGAAAAAAAAACAATAAGTGTTGTAATTAGCCGACTGATAAGCTTCTTTGTCATTACCAGCTTAAGGAAACATCAAGTGGACCTCTTACCTCAGCTCAGTGATACTAGTACTCTCATCAGTGATACTAGTGTTCTCATCCGTGATACTAGTACTCTTATCAGTGATACTAGTGTTCTCATCCGTGATACTAGTACTCTTATCAGTGATACTAGTGTTCTCATCCGTGATACTAGTACTCTCAACATTGATACTAATGCTCTCATCAGTGATATTAATGTTCTCATCATTGATGCTAGTGCTCTCATCAGTGACACTAATGCTCTCAACATTGATACTAGTGCTCTCATCAGTGACACTAGTGCTCTCATCAGTGATACTAGTACTCTCATCAGTGACACTAGTGCTCTCATCAGTGATACTAGTACTCTTATCAATAATACTTGTACTCTCATCAGTAATACGAGTACTCTCGTCAGTGATACTAGTTCTCTCTCATCAGTGATACTATTACTTTCAATAAAACTTAAATGATCTTAGAGTGTTTTTACTTGTACTCTAAATTACTGTAAAATAATCTAAGAAACTGTACTTTAAAAAAACCGTAATACTTAAAACATTCTAAAACCTTTTATTGAATCCGCAGGGGCAACTCTGGCTTATCCCTATTGCAGAACAGAATGTTTCGTTTTGTGATGTGTTGACTGTATACTAGAGAATATTTATCAGAAAACGACGTGAAATATAACTTGAATACGTGTTATTTGATTTTAATCATGAGAATACAGAACTCAACACGTGGTTAATAGTGTCGAGGCACGTGCCCAGATTTCGGAAGTTAAATAATATTAAAGTATATCCATTAATTGAAAATTGCGTAGACCTTTTCGTTTCTCTTATTTATAGCGTGATGTTCTGAACAACAAAAATGCACGTATATCTTGAAAAGAGTTATAACACATTATTTTTAGATTATTACTATGCATTATAGCTCAATTAAAATATGACATACATGTAATCAGGTGTAATGAGTAGGACACCGTTACTTCATTTAATTAAAAGCCAGAAAGACATGTCCTATTGATGTTGTACGATTTTCTTTCCAGAAACCTATGGTTGGACAAGACAAACGCGCCATCTGTTGTCTCTGTTGTAAACGAGGTGTAGTAAGTCTCCGAAGCGCCCTCGAACGGTCAGCTTATTGTTGTGGGGAAAGTATTCGCTTAAAAGCTGACATAGACAACCAGAGCGAAGAAGTAGTTCGACTCAAGTTGAAACTTGTACAGGTAAAACGTACTAGTATGTTTTCAGATTAACGTTTTCAAGGAAATTAGCTATAAAGTACGATAACAAAAGCAACAAATCATTTTACTAAATAAAAACCCGAAGAAGGTAAATAAAACAATACATGAATAAAATTACAAATTTGAAAAACAAAAATGGCACCTAAAATATTTCAAAATGGGCTGTAAAATGATGAAGTATATAAAATAATTAAATAATTCGGGAATATTACAGTTGTGTTTATTAATGTAGATTACGTGATAGTCAATAGGAACACATCGCTACTCAAAATAGTCACAATCGATAAATAATTTCCTAAAAGCGTTTTAGGGCCAGGTGTTTCATAATGGTTAACGTGTCGAGTTGCGGATTATCATAAAAGAGACAGTCAGTTATGTTATTCGGTTCAAGTCCCTTGTGTCAATGAATGTTACAGATGGGTTGCTTTCCCTCCGTTTAGTTGCTCAAAATTATGGACGGCTATACCTGAACTAAAGGGGTGTCAGACCTGACCGTTTAACGGCTATACCTGAACTAAAGGGGTCTCAGACCTGACCGTTTAACGACTATACCTGAACTAAAAGGGTCTCAGACCTGACCGTTTAACGACTATACCTGAAATAAAGGGGCCTCAGACCTGACCGTTTAACGGCTATACCTAACTAAAAGGGTCTCAGACCTGACCGTTTAACGGCTATACCTGAACTAAAGGGGTCTCAGACCTGACCGTTTAACCCATGTGCGTGTAAAGTGCTATTCAAGATGAAAATACCAACGGCGAAAACATTATATATATATATACACACACATATATAGTATTGGATATATATATTTTTTATCAGTTAATAAAATAGGTATAAAAGGCAAATATTATAGGATTTCTCTCCCTCTATTGTATGAAATAAACTTCACCAGAGTACAATCGTATGCCGAATTTACACTGTGATTACCTCCCTAGTCCCCAGTGGCTCAGCAATATATCTAAAGGCTAATAATGCTAAAATCCGGGTTTCAATATCCGAGGTAGGCACAACTCAAATAGCCTATTGCGTAGCTTTGCGCTTAACAACAAACAAATAATACATTGTGATTAGTTGTCACCCAACCAAACATAATACCTGCAAAAGTATAAGCAATCAAAAATTTTCTAGCAGTAGTCTGGTGAATGCACTCATGGTTCCTAGGAGAAAAATGCAACATGACAAACATACAGAAATTGAAGTGAAGGCTACTACTTACCACAGATTGAGGCGAAATTTTATTTTTCAGTAAGAACTGTATGAAAACTCTGGAGAGGGTACATAAAACTAGTGCTATTGACAATAAAAGTAGTCAAGATATAAAGCTCCAACTTATCAAAAGTGACGTTAAGAAACTCCGAGTATGCTCTTTATGTGATACACGACAGTCCAGTAGATATCTTACCAATGATCTATCTGTAAGTACAGATGTGAATGTTACCTTCAGAACAATAAGATCGACATTCGCACGAAGTGGCCCAAGTGGATGTGTATCTACCCAGAAACCACTGCTCAGAGGAGATAATCAAGCTAAAAAACTGAAACGGACTTCAAACAATTGGATGATCAAAGCTATAGGGTGGTATTTTTTATAGATGAATCCAAATTCAAATTGTTTGGCAGCAATCAACGATAAGAGAAAGGTATGACGGTTAATATGAAATATCTACAGTGAAGCATGCCGGGATCAATACAAGTGTGAACTGCGTCTCATCCAGTGGTATTGGAGACCTACACTCAATTAATGTCACTCTGACTACCCAACGACACAAATAGAGTCTTATCCATCATCCCGTTTCCTAAAGAACAAGGATGAGTTTCCTCCTATAGAAAGACAGTGAACGCCTGGATATATGGAAACTGGAAAGGTCAAACGACAACCAAACAACTTGGCTTGATTGTGGGAACTAACACATGACATTGGAAACAACATTTTAGAAACAGACATTGATAAATTTATGGTAACATATAACTAAGGTGTATCGCTTTGTTTGAAGCAAATACAAAATAGTAGTACACTGTACAGTTTCTTTTCTTTTCCACTTTCTACAATACTATATTGTATTAATATATTGACCATTTGGTTCCAATTACTGATTGTTTGTGGCTCTTGTATGTCTATCGTCTAAATAAAACAGTATAGATTAAATGAATATTTATTTTAGCCTTAAAACCGCTTTATAAAGTAAGGAATAGTTCAACTTGTTACTCAAAACCCGTGCCATATTTCTCGTAAAACATTCAGAATTTATACGAATTTTCATTGAGCTGAAAATGCAATTGAAAATTCAGTTTTGAAAAGAAAAACAACATTTATTATAGAAGTTTAGCGTAATGTGTCATTATTGAAGAAAATTGGCAGGAAAAAAGGTGGTTTAAAGAAATTTTCCTTAATTAAATAATGACATTTTGTATAAAGCAAACAAATATTGTATGGAAATTGACAAAAGTTGCATGTTTCTAATGATAATAAAAAAAAATTGATAAATAGCTCGTTATATTGTGACGCCAGTTGGCTCCACATTCTACTAGTACAACACAGTTAAGCTTACAAAAATAATTTTAGCGTGAAGGAAGCTTTTTTTTTTTTTTCAGGCAGATTTTTCACCTTCTATGTCATGCATTTTATTCATATTCTGGGTGGTCCGCAACGGTTATAATTTTTAACATAATTTCTTGGCAGTTATATGAAGAGAAAATCATACTGTATACAGGATTATTTAAAAGTTTATGATCACAATATGCTTTTCTTTGATTTCTTTAGTACGTGGAGTTCTTCATCGATCGCGGTGTTTTGGGAATCAACAAGGAAACAAACCATACAGTACTAGAGTACAGGGGTGATCCCATTGAACCACAGACTAGATCCAGGTTCGACAGTACCAACAGTCTTGTGGTGCCCGTCATGCCTCCTACACTGATAGGTATCTGCAGACTACTGCAGATGTACTACGTTTTAAAGGTTAGGTTTTGATTTATGTTACTATACGTATTGTATGTTGTGTCTATACGACATTACAACCACAAACTATACACATTAGCTCAGGGGCTTTAATAAAATATAAATGACGAAAATAACAAATCTAGCTTACAACGCTAGAAACCGGGTTTCGATACCCGTGGTGGGCAGAGCACAGATAGCCCTTATGTAGCTTTGTGAATAATTAAAAACAAACAAATAACAAAGTAAATAATAAAGTTTATACAAAGAGATAACAAAATAATAAGCCTACTACTAAAAAAATGAAAAAGCAGATAAATCAGAACAGAATAACACATACTTACACAAAGTGATCAGAAACAGAGTAAAAAGTGTCAGATGAAGAATCAGATAAGTCATAACACAATAATAAAAACTTACACAAAGTTTCATAAGTAAATAGAAAACTGTCAGATGAAATTTACATTATGCTTGAGGGAGGTAATGCAGAGACACCACATTTAAAAAGTTAAGTATCTACGTCTAACATAAGTTTCAGGGAAGTGTAGAAGATCGATAGATTACTAACACGTGACATTTTAATGTAAGTACTGAATGTAACTGATACTGCCAGATTAACGTGGTTTACTGTAAGTTTCAGGGAAGTGTAGAAGATCGATAGATTACTAACACGTGACATTTTAATGTAAGTACTGAATGTAACTGATACTGCCAGATTAATGTGGTTTACTGTAAGTTTCAGAGAAGTGTAGAAGAGCGACAGATTACTAACACATGACATTTTAATGTAAGTACTGAATGCAACTGATACTGCCAGATTAATGTGGTTTACTGTGAGTTTCAGGGAAGTATAGAAGATCGATAGATTACTAACACAGGACATTTTAATGTAAGTACTGAATGTAACTGATACTGCCAGATTAATGTGGTTTACTGTAAGTTTCAGGGAAGTATAGAAGATCGATAGATTACTAACACAGGACATTTTAATGTAAGTACTGAATGTAACTGATACTGCCAGATTAACGTGGTTTACTGTAAGTTTCAGGGAAGTGTAGAAGATCGATAGATTACTAATACATGACATTTTAATGTAAATACTGAATGTAACTGATACTGCCAGATTAACGTGGTATTTTATTGTTTTGTGTTTTTTCTATACCGCTTTAGCTTTTCATAATTTTTAATATGACATTTTGTTTTCATTTCCAATTGTTGGATACCCCAGGACTGGATTTTATTTCTTAACTGTCCAACTCCGTGTTTAACGAAGGTTTTACACCGTACATGTAGTGGGTTTATTGATTACTCAATACGTTTAGCCTTACATAGTGAACCTCCTACAGAAGTAAATGAACAACTTGGGTAAAAACTATTTTTGGGAGACGAATGCCCTGCTGGTTAACGTGCTTGGACAATGATTCCGAGGGTTCATTGTTAGTTTCACGTTACTGCTTAAACGTGATCCGCCCTGTGCGTTATAAAAGTGTCAGTCAACTCCAACTATTCAGTCAAACAAGAGTTGGCGTTGAGTGCCGTTAACTAGCTGCCTTCCCTTTAGTCTACCAGTTGAAACTTAAGAATGCCCTTATGTAGATTTCAATGAAAGCCCTAAAACAAAGAAACAAACAAACCTCTATTTGTACACCATTTATTCAAGACTTTCAGTTGACTTTTAAATTTTTCCCATGATTTTTAAATCTTGCCAAATTTGTGCAACTCCTGTTATTATCGGATTATGATCTTCCTTGAATGTATACCATTCACAAAATAATATAACATAAAACAGTTATCCGAAGGTTCCACGTATGTTCTTGTGAGTTTTTTGTTTATATTTTAAAATGTTTTTTCTCTCTCTCCCTTTAGGTGTGGGTGGAATTCGAAAAATCTGGAGATGAGTTACACATGAACTTTCCTATCACTATAGCAACATGTCCTTTCCGTATTCCCAACTCCAACCAACAACCACAGATTGAATACGGTTCGTTACTTTCCTCTGATCTGAACTCATTTAGTAAAAAAATAAATTAGTGAACATGTTGATTTTGTAATTATTAAAAAAAATGGATAAGAATTTCTCTAAAGACAAATGAAATTTTCAGGAACCAAGCAGTAAAAGATTTCTGGAAAATAGCCCGTTTGAGAAGTTATTAAAATATCTCCAAACGATAAATTTAGTTTTCGGTAGTATGGAATTAAATAATATACTACTTATCAGAAGGAAGAAAATGAGTTTCACAGTCACTTCTGTGTGTTCATTAGTTTCTTCAAAAAGTTCGCACCTGTCATGATATTTGTTCTAAAAGATAAATACATAAGAAAGTCTATCAGCAGTACAAATTACCAATTTCATCAGAAAAGCTTGATATGCAACTTTTAACACTTCAGTGTTTGTAGTTCTTTAAAATTTTCATTGTATGCCATTGTTTTCAGACTTGCTCAGCACATTTAAATACTCAACAAAAATCTTTATTTTTATAAGTCCCTTCCATCTTTTTAAACATTCCAAAAGACGGCTTTTAGAATATAATGTATTTTAAGAAATTTTGGTTTTCCAACAGATGTGTCTTGTGAACATGTTGAAGGTGGTATGTACATCGGTCCCGAGTTTCAGCTTGGTCAAGTGTACGACGGAACCCTGGGGATCGAAGACGGAAACACGGTCGTTCTTTATCGTCCTGTGTATGTCTGTGTCCATCACAACCGTAACAGCGCTTCTGTGTCACAGGAACAAAAAGACACAGGTCCCAGTACTAGCTGTCTTTTGGGTCGACGTACTTCGGACGCGAAAATATCTGATGACAGTGATAACACGACTCGCGTATGATAACTTATTTTTCATCGGTGTTAAAAAAAAGTTGCTTAAATTAATGGCTTTAAATGGAGGGCAGAGTGGACCCAGGGGACGTTATAGTATTAAAGTATCTGCCTTCAGCTTGCCTATTATTTAACTTCAGACAACGATAGTTATTTTTTTAATTTGACTGTGACAATTTCCTCTTCATGTCTTGAGGATAAATTATTTATAATGACTGACACCGCCTGTTCGTACACAAATTGTCACAAAGTTGTTTTCGTATGCACAAATTTCTAAATTCCATCTTCATTAGCTTTTCTCTCTACTCCTTTGTCATGTTTCAATATTCACACAATTTATTTATTATTAATACCCAATTCGTGGTTCACACAATCGTTGTAGATTTTACACTGATACTTTTTTGCTATCAAACAATTTTTAGGCCAGTTCTTGTATGAAAAAATAGAACAACACATTATTGACATTATACCAAAATTCAATGTATTAAATGTGTTCTTGTAATATGAAGCAGAAACATTTTACATTTAATCATGCGCATCAGTTTACTGAAAAAATGTTTTATCATATTCCGCTTTTAATACGCTCGTCAAATTTTTAGACGTACGTATGAAATTCACGTAAAAAAATTATGACGTTTAAATTCATCACCTGTAAAAAAAAATGCATTATACAGAATTTCTGATCACTGAAATGAGAAATTTAACGAAACCATTTCTCGCAATGCATGAACGATTTTTAAGCACGTATCTACCTAAAATCGTTCATTAGTTTGTTTGTTTTTTAATTCTGATTATCGTAAGCTCTTCTTTCCGCAATAAACAAAATCTCTTTGCCTATAATAAACGAATGGACCGTTAGATTAATTTATTTTCAGCTCAGAGCAAACGTAGATTTTGTAATTTGAAAATCGATTTTAAAAAAGGTTACTTAGAATTAAAGGAAATTCTGTCAACCTTTAGTTCAACATACTGTATGTATAAAGTACGAAATTTTAATGATAGTTCAGGTGACGTAAAAGTACTATTAGGAAAACACACTTCAGCTAATTAGAGTTTGAATATTGCCGTGAGGTGGAGCTTTTAATCTTCTTTTAGTTCGCTAAAATCGAACTGAACCATGTTGTCACGACCCCATCTTACAAATATTTCATATCTTTTGTTAGTTGTTGTTGTTGTGAACTATTAATTCGATGGCAAGAAACAGCTTTATTGTGCGTGGTTTATAATCTGACCATTATTACCACACATGGACATTTTGAATTATGAAAGAAGTGTTGTTTTTTTAAGTTTGTCAACTTGATAAATTTGACGCATTTATTGTTTTTCTTTTTAATTCGTACACCGGTTACAAGTGGAGTTTTGAAATTTATAAAGAAGCGTATTATATTTGAACCTTTCGTGAATGCTGTAAGTTCACAGTTTTCGGTCAAGAAAATTAAAAATTTTAGTCTGAAATGGCTAAAATTATGCTACGATCGTAGACAAGACTGGTGGAATGGATTTGAGAATAACCCATCGTGTGGGGGGTGGTGAACAGCTTCTTCCTCAGTGAAGGAAATATTTAAGAAAACTTTTCTTGATGTTAGGTTTTCACAGTTATTTATTGAAATTCTGTTGAAATCAACTGACGATGAAAACTGTTAACTCGTTTTCCCGAGAGAGACAATTTAATGCTCTTACGAAAAATGGTGTGACTTTTGTCGTAGACTTTAGAACGTTTTATCTAAATTTAAAAAAAAAAGGAATTTGGCTGCTCTGAAACGAACAAATTGTGACAGAAAAGCTTACAAATATTTCAGTGGTGTCGCCTCGTTGTTTAATATACCTCAGAAGAATGGGCGTTGCTAGTTATAACGGACATCTAGATAAACTGTATCCAGAGAAATTTGATCCGACGTGTACGCTCAATTCTGGAATTCATGACCGAAGGCGCAGAAGATAACAAGCTATAGGGACCATCCCTTAGATATACTGGCACATATTTGCTAGCGTTACGCGAAATATTTTATTGGTATGCTGATGATGTCTTTTCGATATATTTTGTTTTGTGATGTTTAACGATAATTTTTGTTAGTTGTTAAACGTCAAACTTTAATTTTGGTTTTGGTGTGGATCTTCCTACACTTGTCTATCGTCTGTGTGACAGTGAAGTTTATTTTTATAATATCCTACTGAGTATGTCGTATAAAGTCACTAATGCAGTGAGTCTAATAGAAAACGTCACACACTAGTGCCACCTAGTTAAGAGAAAATTTAGTTGTTGTTGTTATAGCATACAAAAAACTGTAATGATATTTACATACACTCATTTTTTGTGTATAATTTGAGGTATTATTTTAGGGACTTTCATTGACATCAAGAGATGGCGCTAGCATAGGGGAGCTTCTGCATGATTATGATTTGTGTAGTTAAATTGTAGATGGTTAGTGTTTCTTGTGACAGCAGTTACATTTGTCTAAATACAGTACTATAGTGTTGACTTTAAATAAAAGTGAGTTCAAAAGATACAGTGACGTGTTGTGCTACTTATAAAACAATACTTCTGATAATTAGGTGTATCAAGAACTCCTTCTTCCATGTCTACGCGTATACCTGACAGAAACTACATCTGAGTGTGATGTTCAACACACCGAGTTACTTTGATAATAATTTTTAAACTAGAAGTGTCAGTATGTCACTCCCTATCCACCTTATTTGATAAGATCCTCATAATACAGTATTTTATAACTCATATTCTTAATATGGATAGATAGTTAAAACAGTATCAACTTAAGATTCATCTGTGAAAAAGATGTATTAGAACATACTAAATTGTGCCCTTATAATGCATAGGATAGCCAATTTCTGAGCACATAAATACATTCATAGTTACAAAACTTTACAAGTAATATTTTGGGCATTTCCATGTATTATGTAAATCAAAACAGTTATCGTAACGTTTACATATGCAGACAATTTCTCTTGGTCCAGATCATCCTACTGCACACTTTGAGATTTATTTCAACACTGACCTCTGTAAATTCGCAAGAAAGGCACGAATCCGTAATCTGTCGGAGACGGGAGTTATCGCAAGGTATATTTTTGCGAATGTGGTATTTTCAGGTGAACTAATTTCCATAAATGTGTGGGATTGATCTGTTAATAACAGCAGATTTGATGAGGAAATATAGAGAGTAATCTGTTTTTGACAAGTTGACGGAGATCCATGTTGCATGACAAATAAACAGATCAGACACCTTTGAAGAAGTGAAAAGAATCTTTATTTAGACATACACACACAACAGGGCGTACCTGCGTAGAAAAGTGGACGATTGCCTCTACCGGATCACTGAATAGAACGCCAGCTTTCCGTCACTCAGGGCGAATTTCGGCCAAACTAGTTACAATAAAAACCCAAACAGCTCTGAACTAAGAAATGCGTCTGAATTCAACAGGTAAAATCGATTTCTTTGTCCAGTCGAAGGCGTTACAGCGTGACCTTTGTTCCCTCACAGCATTGGTCGGCTATAGCACTTAGACCAACAAAGGATATTACATTGCTAATCCTTTCAATCCGGGTGTTGCTGCAATATGTTCTAGGGCAGAATAGACGTTATCTACTACAGCGAACAAAGAAACATAGCACCTAAAAAAGATAATCTCAACGACTTTCTGGGCCAGTGGTTATGCTAAACACTGTATGGAAACTAAATAAATGAAAACTTTTAAAATCTCCTGTATAATAGAAATTATATGATATGCGTGCATGTAATACGAAGTATCTTCTAGATTGGTCAAAATATAAAGAAATGACAGGCTAAAAACCATAATTCTGTGAAAGATTTTGATCTTTGACCCCTTTAAAAGTCACAAGAAAAATATGAATCATAACTCTGTCAATTTCAGCTTGTGAGAGCTGTCGTAGATGTTTATGTGAACTCTTATTTGGATTGGTCGAAATATAACGAGATAGCAGGCCAAAAATTCTAATTTTAGGATTTTTTACCTTTCACCCTTATAAAATAAAAAAAAGGAACAAATTACAAACCCTTCCGCTTTTTTCTGTAGGCGTTGTCGCAAAATTTCTTTGTACCAAGTCTCATTTGGATTTATGAAACGATAAGAAAGCTGCTGGCCAAGATAGTTGTTTTCGTAATATTTGACCTTTCAATTTCTTAAATCGGGCTGGGGTCTAAGTCAGAAACACGGAGAACATTGGGTATTTTTGATCCAAGGTATATGCCCTCCAAATTGCAAGTCGATCGGCCCAGAAATAAAGGAGTTGAAAAGAAGAAAAAGAAACGTAGATAAATAGTATGTCTTCTTCTTCGCTTGAAGGGAGAGATTATGAGATATGCAACTTATAAAACCGAAAAGAAAGTACATAAACAAATGAGTTCCCCCTGGGACAGCGGTGAGCCTATGGACTTAAATGCTCAAATCAGGGGTTCGATTCCCCTCGGTGGGCACAGCAGATAACTTGACGTGGCTTTGCTATAAGAAAATCACACATACATAAAAATGCTATCATCATATCTAATAAGGTGCCTAACATACCAAACAATATTTTTGGGTTTATGATATTACTAAGTGCCATCTTCGCTGTTTGTCATATGATATAAAATTGTAGCCAATTAGAACTAAAGTAAAATAAATAAATAATCCTACAATAAGGAATTGTTTATATGTTGTGCAGTACTTCTACAAGAACTCAAGAAATAAATTCGAAAATTTTCTGAATTGTTCATTGACAATCCAGTATTTAAAGCGAACACATTTTATTTAGTGTTTATAATTCTTACAGAATATAAATTCGGTGATCTAAAAATCTTACCAAAAATGTTTCTGTTCTGCATACAGTAAAATATCCATCAATTTTATATTGCCAATGCCTATGTTGAAAACTCATCCTCAGTAATCTTTTTCGGGGGAGGTGGGGGGGGTAGGAGAAGGAGGAACATTTTTTTTTTTTTGTGTTAGAGTTTTGCGCAAAACTTCACAAAGGTTATGTGTCAAGCTAAGCTGTGGAGCAAAAGGCTCGAACCCGTAATCTGCGGTCCTGGTGGTTTGGACACTCTCCTCGCAATTTGAGTTATACAAATTCGAATCCTACTACCGAACATGCTCACCCTTTCAGCCATGGAGGGGTGGTGTAATGTGACGGTCAATTCCACTATTCGTTGGTAAAAGGTAGCTCAAGAATTGGCGATGGGTGTTGTTGACTAACTGTCTTCCCTCTATCCTGTCACTTCTAAATAAGGGACGGCTAGGGCAGATACCCGTCGAGTAACTTTGCGCGAAATTCAGCAAACAAATCATAATATCTTGCTGAACACGCTTTGTACTTTCGCCTATGGGCACGTTTTAAAAATAATCATCAATCCCACTATTGGTTAATAACGTAAAGTGGCGAATGTTGTGAACTGGTTGTCCTCCTCCTTGTCAGTAGCTGAAAATTAGGGACAGCTATATCTTGGAGCCTCTGACATGCCCGTTTACCCTATATGTCTCAATTGGCCATGAATAGTTATTACATCGACTTCTTAGCACTAGTTCACATATCTTAATCGTTAATATATCTTCTAGTGAAGGTACACACACATATATGCAGACTTACTAAATGTCTAATAAACCTGTTTTATTATTTAATGTAATATTCTAAACTAACAAAAGGGACTTACACAAATTTACAAAAGGTAGAAATATAACCGATTGGGATACATAGAAGATAATGATCTCTCTTCATGAAAATGCACAGAAACGTCTTGGTAAAGAGATTATGTAGTATCGCACAGATTCGAAGTCAGTCTGCCAGCTCTGAAATACAGCACACATACACGCAAGAAACAAAAGTTTTACGAATCTCAAACTGGTTCACCAATGGACATTAGTTTCGATCACTTGTAAAGTTTCCGAATCTCAAACTGGTTCACCAATGGACGTTAGTTTCGGTCACTTGTAAAATTTCCGAATCTCAAACTGGTTCACCAATGGACGTTAGTTTCGGTCACTTGTAAAGTTTCCGAATCTCAAACTGGTTCACCAATGGACGTTAGTTTCGGTCACTTGTGTTATGTTGATCTTCAATTATGTTCTCACTATATGCTTATTCCTTCATCGACTTTCCCAAACCGTGTAACGAAATCATTCAAATCAGTGAACCATGACAATGAGCTATCCTTATAACATTGTCATCCATGGTGTTGTAGTAGTTGTATTTTTAGCGTAGAGCTACAAATTGGGCTATATGTGTCCTGTTCATCGCAGGGACACCTATCATGGGTCTTTACACCTGGTTTTATTTTCCTTCATCTATAATATCATATACAATTATATTCTATTCCCTTTTGACAACCATAGACAAATTTGTTACATAAATTAAACCATAATTATCATCTATATATGAGTATCAACTATATATCCCACCTGTTTCTTTACATAAAGTTGTATTTACTTCTACCTAGTTATTTATTGTTAGGTTTATAATATTTATAAAAACAATTACAATTAGTATACGTGTTATTCTATGTTTATTAAAAGTTATTTAAAACTATCGAGATAATTTACATATCTGTTTAGGAGCAGGCGTGTCCTACGAGTTAGTAAACCCGAATTGTGCATTTGAGAATTCAAGGCTCACATCCCGTTGTCATGAAAATGCATTCCGCTCTTTGGGGACAGTGTATGCTGTAAGAATGACAACCAATTAATGAAATCACTGTTTGGTCAAATGAGTGTAGCTAAAGGGTTAGCTATGCGCAGATGAACATTGTATAGCTTTGCGCGAATATTCTAGATTTAACATCACGTTTTTAATAACGGGTAAAACGTGTTTTGCTTCATTGTCCAGAAATTTTTTTATGTGAAATAAGTAACATTTTTACGTAACTCTTGACACTCTGAGAAAATTTTATTTAAACAATGATTAGTTTTTTATAAGCATTAATAATATTCGTCTGTTTCTTCTAACAACCAGTAACGCAGGAAGAATGATGATGAATCTATGGATAACTTCTTCTAACATTAGTAACGCGGAGAGAATGATGTCAGATCTATGGATGAGTTGGAATACTTAATCCAAAGATTATGGAACCACTGAATATAGAACTCCGGATATATATTTTTAATTTATTAAATAAAGTGCTAGATGTCTGTACCTTTAAAGTTGTGTATAACAGGAAAAGTTACTGAGAAATGACTAGAAAATGTTTAAGGGAAAGAACACATAAGGTAGTAGCCTCAGTTTGAAGTTAGCATGATATTGTTACGACAGCGGAAGTCACGCGACGCTGGGAGCATGCGCGCTGGAGTTTCTAGAAG